AAGCTTTCAATCCGCAGACAGAAGCCGGCATGGGGCAGCAGTCCCAGTGTGGAGCATCACAGCTGCTGCTGTCTGCCCCATGGGGCCACAACCCAATCCCCCCCCCAGGCCCCTTTCCATCTCCTGCTCCTGTACTGGGGTGTCTGGTGGCAATGGAAAGCAGAAGCTGGTGGGTGGTGTGTCCTTCTGTGCAGGAATGGGTCCCTTTGCCCTTCCCTAGGGAGCGACACAGCTCCTGCTCATGGCACAATGGGCAGCCACCAGGAAAAGCAAATGGGAGGGGGGTGATGAAAGATGGAGGGAACTTTTCCCTTTTTAATCCAATTTTGGACATCTAAGAATATTTTCTCCCCAAACTCAAGATTCCAGGCTGATTTTGCCACAAACTTCCACATAGAGCATGAGGAGAGCACTCATGGGGATGGGAGCTTCCATGTTTGAGGGACATAAGTCCCATGTGCATTTGTGGAAACTCTGTCCATGTTTGAAAGCAAGTATTTTGCCCCCAAAAAAGCCCATCGCAGCAACAAGGGTTCCCGAACTCACACTATTCATACCTTAAATACCCCCAAAATGACATGAACTTGGGGCAGAGGAACAGCTCCAAGCCAAGTCACCCCTTCAGGTCAACACCACGATCATCTCTGCTCTTACAGTAACTCCCTCTCCTACCAAAACTCCTGCCAGACACTTTACCCCCAGCACAGCCACACAGGAACTCCTGTTTCCTTCAGATTTCACCCAAGATGCCCAGCCCTGGGGACTGGGGATGTTCAGACCCCATAATGCCAGGTCCTGCTTGCCCTGCCTGCACTGGGAACGTTGCTGCTCTACAGAGCTTTGGTGCACATTGGGATGAGTTTCGGTAACCTGCTGTCATTTTTTCCATTCACAGACTTGGAGGAGACACTCAGGTTGCACCTCCAGCTTAATGAAAAAAAGAGAGAAAGTCTGAGAGCCGCTTGCTGCTTGGGAAGGTGGTGAGCAGAGAAAAGCCACCCCACAAATTGATGAGCTTTTCGAGCAGTATATATCCAAGCAGGTTTTTTTTTTTTTCCCCTGAAGTTTAATAATCTGAATTCTTTCCTCCCAGATTTTCCACTATCAGGGTTGCAGTTACAGCCCCCATGTGCAAATGATCCATCTCCCTCCCTGAAACCTTAGAAAAAGGGAAACAGTCACGACCAAAAATATACCTAGAGAATATTATATAGAAGTTTGTATACACTCAGAAATGCCTCCACACACACACACGCATATATAAATATATATATAAAAGTTGCTTTGAAACCCTTCTAAAACCATCCACACTAGCCAAAAGCAGCATTAGAAGACTCAGACTGAAGGATAGGTGCCAAAGTCCTCAGATTCCACATTTGGTATTTGGCAGCCGGGTCTCTGCACGTTGCTATAACCATTGCTCCTGTACGAACCCTGCTCCTGAGATAACCATTTAGTTTCTCTGAGCTCTTCTGCATTTCAGCAGGTTTTGTTGGACTCCTCTGGGATGGCATTGAAGGATGGTCGTCTGGCTCCTGCCTTACCAGCAACTGGTTTCATCTTAGCATCATCTCCATTTCTTCTGCTTCCTGCCAGCTCCTGGGGCTGGCTGAGATTCGGCACAATTATTATCCTGCTCTCTCTGTATGTCCTTGGTTTATACTATAGATGTTTTGTTTGTTCAGTCATTTATCCTTTAACCAGAGTGAGTCATGGTGGCTTCATTTTTTCACTGTGTACGCATATTTAATAGATATTTTATACTAGATAATTACATATTTAAATACACACTGTATTCGTGTATGTACATACATCATTCTCTGCAGAGGACATCCATTTTTTTTTCCTGCAGAGGAGAAAACTACAGCTGTGTCCTGCCTAATGTTGGCAGGAGAGACGTGAGAAGGGCCAAAAGGAGCCAGTGCTGGTCTTTGCTCCAGTGTCCTACTGGGAAAGGAGGCAAAATCCTCCCTTTGCTGGTCCCCAGGGAAGCCAGGCCTTGACCACCCCATCAGTGACGGTGGCAGCTCAAAGACATGAGAAAAAAAAGCATAAGATGCCCCAAATGACATGGGAATTGCAGCTCCTGGGCTGGGGTGCAGCCAGGATCACGCCTGAAACAGCATCTATAGTTACAATTGGGCTGAAAATACTAAAAAAAGAAAAAAAGGGTGTTTTCCACCAATCTCTGCAGGATCTCTCCTTCAGAGAGCTTGCTTTGGGCAGAAATCTCTGCAGATGAGCAGAGACTGTGTGCTGCTGTCCCCCCCTAGCAGGGAAACCAAACCCTGAGGGGCAGGGGGTGTATAAATACCTCAGCCAGGACCTCAGCAAGATGGGCCGAGGGATGGGACAGGTTCCACCACATCCATGTCCTGCACCTCCTACCCAGGGATGGGCAAGAAGGGTCTGTCCTCTGGAGCAAGGTTCAGCTGTGGTCCAGGAGGATTTTTCCACCACAAAATGATGTCATTTTGTCATTTAAGGAGCACGGTGGCCCATGAGAACCTTGGAGCAAGGTACCTGTGTGCCATTCGCACCCGGTTACACTGCCCTCCTCCAAGGGGAGATGTTTAGGATGAAATGAGATATGGAAAAGGAATAGTGTCCAGAAGCAGCGGCAGGGAGGAATGTGATGGCAAAGACACTCAGTTCCTGCTCTTCATCTGCTTCGGAGAACCACGATCTCCAAACAGCCTTTCCTAGACTTAGCCCTGACCTGGGGGGCACCTCTGTGGAGCCACAGCCTCTTGCAGAGGCCAGCGCAAATACCACCAAATTCTTGGGGTTTTGGATCCATTCCTGATAGAAAAATATTTCACAGCAGAGGTCTGTGCAAACGCAGAGCTCACATGCTCTGAAGCATCAGGTCGGCCACCCTGGAGAGTATGGTCCCCATCCCACCATCTCACAGTCTAGGCCCTGCCCGTGGGCAGGTAAAGGATGGAGACACCAGGTTGGGCTGATGTTCCTTAAGAAATTAGGCACACGGTGCCACCCAGATGTGCTCCAGCATCACCTGGAGGGAGATGAGGATGGTAGACTTCAGGCCAAAGTGGCTTCCTCCACTAACATCATCCATCCCCCACCCAGGTCTCAAGCAGGATGTGGAAGGAATTTGCTGGAAATACTCAACAGCCGTGTTTATGCCATGGTCCAGTGGCTTTGCCACAAGCAGTTGTGCTGTCAGCCTACCCAAAATTCCTTACCCCCCCCCCAAAAAAAAGCATTTCTTTGGGTAAATATCCACATTCTCAAGCAAAGAAAGGGTGGAGGGCTGTGCCCCATGCCAGAGGTTTCTGGCTTGTTAGCTGTAAGCTGGCTGCTTGGGGAATAGTCCCATGGCACAGGTTCATGGACGAGGAGGATGAAAAGGATCCCAAGAGACCACCTAGTCCCTCACACAGCCCCAGGCAGAGTCAGCTCCAGGAGAAAGCTTCCTGTCTGCTCTGTGCAGACCTGCTCATGGACCACAGGGATGTCCCCCCTGCAAGGAGGCTCTGGTACTTGGCACAGTCACGCTTCTGGGGAGACTCAGCCTGTCCATGACCAGCCCTGTGCTTGGTCTTGAGCTGAAGCAGCAGAATAGCTCATCCCTGCCATGGAGGCGTGAGGCTCTGACCTTCAGGGGGACACTGGGTGCTAAAATACCTGCTCAGGACCAATCTCTGCAATGGGGCAGAGGCAGCTTCATGGACTACACCCCCAGGCAACCTCCTCCTCCCTTCCCAGAGCACACGCTCTCAGCAGAAAGCTGAACCTTATCCCACCATTCAAAGCTTTATGAATATTAACTTGGGTCTCTGATGGACAGCAGAAGGAAACAGTGACCCTGAGTGTGGATTTAATCACAAACAGCTCCCAGGGATGCAGCCGGGAGCACTGGAGCCTGGATGGTCCCCACAGCCCCCATACGGCATGGGGACCACAGCATCAGCGTCACACCATTAACTGGGGGCACAGTTTTTGGGAAAAAACATGCAATCCTGTGGGAAACCAGGGCCTGGAGCCAGCAGAAAGGCTCCCCACAGTGTGCCTGGGCGGCTGGCCCTGACCCTCCATTAAGCAGAAGGGAAGCGGGGAGGTTTCAGGCCACGCTGATGGCATCCGAGGAGACCAAGGTTAAAGCCAAACCACCCTGTTCCTCCTTACAGTGAAACATCACCTCAGCTTGAAGGCACAGGACAGGGTCCAGCCCCACATCCCCCTCCAGCCCCAACAAAGATCATGCAAAGGCAGCACAGGTCTGAATTTTGGATGTCAAAGGTATCCATCTGCATTAATTACAGAATTACTTGCTGCCTTAAGCCTGGATCTCCCCGTGGGGCAGATCCTTCAAGGCACAGGGAATTCAATTGGTTTTGGAGCTGCTCTCATCACTTCAGCATCCAGATGTGCTCTTGGAGAGCACCGGGGGCTCCGCCAACATCTGTGCAGGATCCCTCAGCAGGGACAAGCCCTGGCGAGGAGCAAAACCTGCCGTGAAACCCAAAACCCAAGCAAAGCCCATCCGAATCTCATCTCGCTCTCACGACAGGCGCAGGCGGGTCTGAGCGCTTCTGCAGACGGCGGCTCCTTGGTGGAAACTACATAAAATAGGATGGCCTCCACCCAAAACCCAGCTGGGCTTCCAGCAAGCGTCGGAAGCCAAGGGGCTCCAGGGAACCATGAACCTGCCTGGAGCAAAGCCCCACGCACGGCACCTGCCACTGAGACGCAGCCAGGCAGGACCCAGAGCCCAGCACCATCCACACACTTACACTTATCAAACACAAAATATAGTTATCCTTCACCTAAAACTCCTCACTATCCTCTATCCTCTAGTTTGCCCAGGATGGCTTCACACCGGCATCACCAAGAACAAACTTGGTTTCTCTTAGAGCTGGAGCACTGCCCACCCCAAACTAGTGGTCCTATGGAGAAGGAGGAGATATTCAGTGTTTTGGGTGGGCTGCTTTGGATCCCCCTCCTCTTCAGAGCCCAGCGCAGAGCTTACTTACCATTTCTTCCCCCCGATGTCATGCTGCTGCACTGTGTAGCCAAAATATGCTTCCTTAGAGCCAGCTATGATTTTAGGCCTCTTGGTGTCAATGTTGAAGGCATCACTGAACCCTGGGAAGAGAGAAGAAGGATCCCATCAACAACAGTGCTGAACAGTAGGAAAAAAGACATTTTTTTTTCTGCACAGTCTCCACCTGTGAAAATATTCAAACCCCAAGCAGACATAGCCCTGAACAACCTGCTCTGGGTGACCCAGCTTGAGCAGGACTCAGACTACATGATCTCCAGAGGTTCCTCAACCTCAACCCTTTCTGGGAATGCTGCTCCCTCAAAATGCACAGCCTGCCCCAGGAGGGTCCTGGGCAAGACAGGGTTGGTTTTACCCCCTACCAGCAGCTCTGCGGCACAGCATTCTCACATGAGGGAATTCCATGAGGAACAGGAGACTGCAATACCCAAAGCACACCAGCTCCACCTTACCTGCAGCCACCCAGCACTTCTCTCTCCAGCACTGAGCCCCCAAAGGAGTAGACAGCCCCGGAGCTGCAGCTTTAAGCAGGTTTAATTAGGGTTTATGGGCCACAGCTGCACAAGTCCTGGGGGACAGCCCCTTTCCCCAGCACACCTGCAAAGGGACTTCACCCCAGGAGGCACCAACGTGCTCCTCAGAGCTAGTGCCATCACTGCTACCAAAGCAAAAGTGTGTTTCAGGTACCAATGTGCTCCTCATAGCTAGTGCCCATCACTGCTACCAAAGCAAAAGTGTGTTTATGGCTCTTAAAGGAACAAATATTTTTCCTTCTAGGCCACTGTAAGAGTGAATCCGCTGAAGGCTGGGCTGCCTGGATGGGCATGGGGACATCTGACATCTCCTGAAGCCCCCTGTGATGGGTGACACTGCTCTGCAACACTTTGTTTCTTCAGCCATGGAGCAGCAGCTGCCTGTGGTGGAGATGGCCACCACCATGTCCCCACACACCCCCGGAAGGGACCATGGGGCAGGGGTGCATAGGAAATGTATGGCCATACCAGATGTGCCCGGTCTGGAGCCCATCACCCATCCCAGCTGTCCCCATGGGCCACCTCCTGCCATCCCCAAGGGTTTTGAGGACCAAAGAGACAAAGCTGGGATTTGCTTTTCCCATGGGAGAGAAAGCCATGGGGCGTTGCAGGGGAGAAGTGGCTCTGGAGAGGGATGTCCCCAAGGATGGATGCTCAGACCCGAATTGGGTGATTTTGGGGCTCAGCCCCCTCCCCAGGGATGCTCTGGAGGATGCCCCTTCCTGCAGGACAGCGGGAGCAGGATCCTTGGCCACAGATTTCCAGCTCTGGGGATCCTGGTGCTCACAGCCTGTGTGGGTCAACTTCCAAGAGCAGGTTGCTTGCCAGGGAGCAAATTCTGGGGGGTGACTCTAGCAGCTCCCTCTCTCTGCCAGGAGCTGGCCCCAGCAGCAGGGTGTGCAGACAGGGGGGTCAAGCCAGCCCCCCCACAAACAGGGTGTCTCGGGGCTGCTGGAGATGCCCCTTTTCCTATCCATGGGTGCAGGACCTGCCACCAATTGTGCCCACGTTCCTCCTGGGTGCAAAATGCTGCAGCCACCCATGTCCCACGTCCCATGGTCCACATCCCACATCCCATGGTCCATGTCCCACAGCCAGCAGGTATCATCCCACAATACCCTCCTGCATATCTTTAATCAGAGATACGTACATTTTGGCTCAGACCAGCACCACGTTCAAACCCTCTGTGGGTGCAAGGGCTTCTACAGGGAGGTGGTTTTTTAATTTACAATATTATTTTCCCCACGGATTTGCTTAAGCACAGAGGGCCATGGCCCAGGTCCCAGCAAGGAGCAATGGGAGGGGAGCCGGTGCTGGGATATGCCAGAGACAGGATATGCCATAGCCAGGATATCCCAGCTCTTTGTTTGCCTTTGGGCAGAAAAGTAGCTGCAGTTGCAAATAAAAGCTCCTGGCGTTCCTAGTGAGAAGTGCTTTAAAAGCAGCAGAAGGATCACGTTTGGTATTTATAGGAGTATAAAGGGGCTGTCAACAGGAGAGGCTGAGAATGCTGCTTCCCAGGCAGAAAAAGTCAGGATGGAAAAGTGTTTTTATAGGTAGGAATGTTAGGGATAAACCTGACTTTTTTTTTTTTTTTTTTTCAGTCAAAAGAACAAATCTGCAACGTTGGCTCCGTCAGCGGAGAACGCCGGAGTCTCGCCAAGGAGAGCTGAGGTAAGGAGCTTTAAAATCCTACAAAAAGAAATTCTAGAAAGCAGGGGTGGGGTGTGTGTGGGGGGGAAGGAGACAGGAGGGATGAGAGCCAGCATATTTTGTGGTAGATTGACCTTATTTAACATTACAAAACAAATTAAAACCTCCTCTGAGTTAACTGTTACCCAGTGGAGAAACGGGGGCCAGGACCGGTCATCTGGAGGAGTGATGGGAAAGAGGGGGGAGGGAGGTTGTGGGGAGCTGGGAGCATCCTGGGGTGTCCCATCACTGCCACCAGCAAACTGGGGTGACACCCTGGACCTGGCTGGAAGAGGGGGGTCCTTTGGGGAGGGCTTTTTTGGAAGTACTTCAAGCAAGGTTCAATTCCAGGTGATGCAGGAGCATTCTCATCACTTGAGTGCAGAGCGAGTGTCAGAGAAGATCTGACAAGTTTTCTTCTGATTTTTTTTACATTCAGCAGAGTTTCTCTGATTTTCCACTGCAGAACCCCAAACAGAGGTTTTAGGGGGGGGCAGGAACGCTGGGACAAGTCGGGGACCCCCATCCCACGTCTCCTTGCATTAGGACCCCACAGTACAGTTGTAACCACTTGCAAAAAGGCAGCCAGACTGGTCACAAAAAGCAACATAAACCCCCAAATAAATAGCACGAATTCTTCACTGGGTGCCAAGGTCTCTGAATCGGGGGCTCGTGCTGCTCACTGTGCTGGAGCATCCCACTCCTGGCAGGTAACAGGGACCGGGGGAAGCAATGGGGCTGGAAAAACAAAATGATCCAGAAAAAAAAAAAAAAAAAGTTTCCAGGCAATGGATGGCAGAGGAGAGGAATTTCAGAAAGCTGACAGATGTGGGTGCATTCGAGGCAGAAAGAAAAAAAAAAAACCAACAAAAAACACAAACCCAAAAAACAGAGGATATTTAAACTGGCTTAAACTAATGGGAGCTTTTTGAGAGGTTGTCAAGGAGATTTAGCAACCCGAAGAACCGACTCTCATTTTCTTGTCAGGAGTGACATCACTGTCATAAATAAGTGACCAAAAGCCACATGTTTTGCTTGTGCTGCAGCCAAGGCAGGAAGCCTCAAATACCTCCTTTCCGAACCGGAGCTTCTGTCGAGTCCAGATTTTTGATTCTTGTCAGATCAAATATTGAAAAGGGAAAAAAAAATGCAACAAAACACACCACACCAAAACACATTCAGGAAACAATACTGGGAATAAAAGCCACCTTTTCTGCCAAAAAGGATAAAAATAAGTCCTCCCTGTAAGGGAAACCTTCGGGAGGGGGATGCTCCTGGTGCCCCAGCACCCTCCTCACCTCTGCCCGTGCCTCCTGCCTGCATCCTTTGGGATTCTCCGCCGGCACAGGGACCCCAACGGCCCTGCTGTGCTGCCCCAAGGCTGCTTCTGCTGCCGTGAGAGGTCTGAGGCTTCAGCTCCCTGTCTTTCCTCCAAACCCTTACAATTTAAGGACATGCAAACTGGGCAGTGGAGCTGCTGGTAAAAATTTCTTCTTTTTTTTTTTTTGGACCGCGAGGAAAACACAGTCAATGTTTTTGACTTGCATGGTGCAAACCCAGCCTGTTTTGCTGGCTTCTGGCACTGTCACAGCTTGGGACAGGGTTTTTAGGAAGAGGTTGAGCCGACACAGTGCAGGGACAGGGTGGGAGAAGCATCCCAAAGGCTGCAGCTGGGTCGGGCTCATTGGAACCTGCATCTGGATCTGCATGGGCTCTTCTTGCCCAATTCCCCAGGGAAAAGGCAGTTTGCCTCCTCCCAGGCTGCTGCGGGTCCCCAGGGAGGAGATACGGGATTTGGGGGCACTACAGGTGACTCGAGGGAAAAGGTGTGGATGGGACACAAGAAGAGCATATGTCACGATGGGCTGTTGCTTTCTTGCAGGGATGACAGAGCTGCTGGAGGAGCCCAGGAGCACACGGCCAGGGGAAAACTCACATCTGCCAAAAACCCAGAGCGTGCCGGGGTCAAGCAGCTCAGTCTGGCACTTTGAAACTCGCCTTGCTGTTCTCACTCCTCCTACAGGTGACTCGAGGGAAAGGGTGTGGATGGGACACGAGGAGAGCGTATGCCACGATGGGCTGTTGCTTTCTTGCAGGGACAACAGAGCTGCTGGAGGAGCCCGGGAGCACATGGCCAGGGGAAAACTCACATCTGCCAAAAACCCAGAGCGTGCCGGGGTCAAGCAGCTCAGTCTGGCACTTTGAAACTCTCCTTGCTGTTCTCACTCCTGCTTCCTCTCTCATCGCTCCAGCCCAGGCGGGAGAGGTGACCTTGGTGATGGGGCAGGGGGTCCGTGGACCCCGGCGTCGCCACTGCATCCTCAGCATCCCTGGGAATGCCTCTGGGCTCTGCTCCTGTCACCCCATCCCTACCACCACTCTGGGGGCTTTGGTGGCATTGGATGCTCCTCTGCAACCAGTCTGCCATGCACGTTACTTTTTCTTCTCTTAGGATTGAAATATTTAGCTTAACCAGAAAACCTTTAAACTCGATATAGGGTATTTGGGCAAAAGCTAGCAGGCCCCGAGAAGGAGCAGGGTGGGCCACAGGTCCTCACGCTTCCTTCTGATTCCCATCAAGCGTTTTTTGCTGAATGAGATGCTGAAAGCACCAAATTCCTCTCCAGGTCTCTATCTCAAAGCCAGCGTTTGTCATCAGCTGGGGTTTGGTGGCTGCTGCCGCGGTGGACGGGGAGCCAGGGAATACTGAGGATGAACAGAGGATCAGTCATCGCCGGCTCGTGTCTTGTAACATTCCTGGTTACCCACAAAATCTCTGACAAACAGCCCCGGGGCATCAGCTACACAAGTACCTTGTGCTTCCATAATTCCAGCATTCTGGCCCCCCAAAAAGCTGGGGCCGGAGGGGGGGAGCTGTCTGATGGCCACGTTTTGCAGCGCTGAGGAATGTGTTGGTCGTTCATGTTCATTAGTGATAATGCAAGTGGCATCATGAATAAATAGTGAGTGGTCTCTGATCGCCCCTTTCCCAGGGAGATGCCAGGAAAGTGGTCGGTTGTGGGGGATGGGTGGGTGTTGTTGGCTTCTCAGAACCTCGGTGCGGGGGGTTGTTTAATAGATCTGCCCTGGCCAAGCCTTGGATGGATGGACAACTGGTAGGCAGGGAGGTGGGGTCCCTCAGCCCCACTGCTGGGGCAGGGCAGCCACCCAAAATTAAGTACCCACCATCAAACCCTGGACTGGAGGGTCCTTTGGGAGCCCACCTGGACAATCCATGGCTCAGCACCCCTTGCCCAGGCTCTCCCATTTTTGGCTCAGACCTGCACCCTGCTTGCACCGAAGCCTTGGGGAAGAGGAGCTGGCCTGATCCAAAGCTTTGGGACACCTTGGGTTGGCCCCAAGAAGGGCTGTGCACAGAGGGTTCCCCAGCCCTGCAAGGTGCCACCTGGAAGGGGATTGGCATCTCCTGCCTCCTCCCTTTGCTCTATTGCTGGTGACAAGTAGTAGCCAAGGAAGTGCCTGAGATGCCATGGTGCCTCCAGGACCTCCCAACCCATGGGACCATGCAAGAGCGGGGACAGAGACCGAGTGCAGGAGGTTGTCCCAGGGCCACCAGAGAGAGCCAGGAGGGGGGCTGACCTTGGGCAAAGCACCCAGGAGAGGCAGCGCTGCCCACATGGTGAAGGGACCATTCCCAAGGATGCACATCCCAACCTGGCTCCCCCAGCTCAGCCCAGGGCCCCGGGGTGGGGGTCCCCCATATTGTGCAAACTTGCTTTTAGTCCGGGGGGCAAAACCCCAATGTTAGTCCTCAGCAAAATACATCAACCAGTAGCCACAACGCATCTTGGTCTGGAGACCACCATGGAGTGCTGGAAGAGTTAACCCTTCCCACCAGCTCACGTTGGCTACATCAGTGATGCCATCGCTGGTCCCTTCCAGGTAGAGGGAGAAACCCCCATGGGCAGAGACCCCCGTGGGCAGAGACCCTGCCGTGGAGGGTTTCTGTTCATCCCGAGGCGGAGTCTCTGATTTGCCACATCCCCCAACCATGTTCCTCCATAAGCCACAGAGACCCAGGAGGGGAGGTCGCCCCAAGGGCTTGGTGCCCCATGTTAAGCAGGGTTGGGGCTTGTGCCACCGTCCCCGTGGTGGCCCAATGGGCCCCGGTGGCCCCACGCAGGCAGCCCCTTGCCCCACCGCGCTCGCCGCCGCCGCGCAGGGCGCAGACACATGTTCCCTATTAAAGCAAAGAAAGGCAGCTCCGCCGCAGCTGGCTTTAAAGGATCGAGCCACAGTGCAATTAGAAAGGGGAAAAAAAAGAAAAAAAAAAGCAGTAAAAAATAAAATCAACCCAAAACCCTCCTGCGCTTTTCCATCAGGATGTTTAAAAATGTTTGCCGTGCTGGCCGGCGGGGAGGCATGAGCTGGTGGCACTGCTTCTGGTAGTGGGGAAAAGCTCTTTTTTTTTCCCCATTTTTGCAGCACGGAGGGGTCCCAGCCTGGCTGCCCTGAGCCTGGGCTGCCCAAGGGAGGATGCCAGAAGTAACTGCAGCAGAAATGACCGCTGCTGGGGACCTTCTTTCTGCAAGAAGCCGAGCCCGAGCACGCCGGCCAGGGGCCAGCAAGAAACATAAATCCCCCCCAGCCCTCCCCGGCCCCCGGCAGGGCTCGTCCTGCAGGCACTCAGCCCTGTGGGGGAAGCTGCAGGCTCGCCTCCCAAAACCAAACACTTCCCTAAAACCTCTCTTAACTCATTGAACCCCAAGCAATTATTTTTTTTTACACGCCCCCCCCCCCCCCCTTGCAACGGGACACACCACCTGTGGGTCACAAAAGTTAAGAGTAGGAAAAAGGGTCTGGCTTTATTCTGGGGGGGCTTCCCCCCCTTTCCCTCTGATGTTTCACAAAAACACTAAGGAATCCCTCTCCAAGTGCAGCCCAGCCGAGGAGGGGGGCCGGGAGCTCGTCGCGTTGCCCCCCTCATTCCTGGGAGCCCCTCAAAAATCTCCATCCCTTTCAACTCCCCTTCTCCCGCCTCCCTCCCTCCTTCTCCAGGGAAGAACTTTTCCATCAGCCTTAACAACCCTGGGCTTTCAACAGCACCTTTCCCAAATAAGCAGAAAAAAGAAGTTATTCCCAGTTTCTTTCCCCCCTGGGCTGGGGGAGCGGGTCCTTACCGGGCAGGAGGCAGAGGGAGCAGGCGAGGAGCATCCCGCTGGGGAGGTCCATGGGAGCGCTGGCTGCCCTGCTCCCCGGCCCCGAGCATCGGCGGGAGGCAGCCAGCCAGACTGGTAGCCTCTCTCCTAGAGCCCTTTCCTTATCCCCAGCTTTTCCCGGCTCCCTGACAGAAGGCGAGCATTGGGAGGGAGTGGGAGGGACGAGGGAAACTTGTAGGAGGTACAGCTGGAGAGGACGGGAGAGGGGACAGCCTTCGCGCGGCCGCGGCACCCTTTAGGGATCGGCTTCCCAGCAGGGCTGTGATGGTGGAGAACTTCAACCCCGTGGCAGCACCCCGGTCTTCTCACCGTGGCACCATGTTGAGGTCCCCCAGGGACCCCTCTCCCTGTTGGGGAGTTGGTGATGGAACTGGAAGGGGTCACTGATGGTTGTGGGGTGCCATCCCTGGCCATTGCTGCTCCGGTGCCAGCTCCACTCAGGTGCCACCTCTATTAAACTCAAAGAGCTGAGATTTAGATTAGATGTTAGGAAGAAATTTTGAACTCTGAGGGTGGTGAGAGCCTGGCCCAGGTTTGTGGCTGCCCCATCCCTGGAGGGGTTCAAGGGCAGGTTGGAGGGGGCTTGGAGCAACCTGGTGTGGTGGGAGGTGTCCCTGCCCAGGGCAGGTTGGAACTAGATGATCTTTAAGGTCCTTTCCAACACAAGCCATTCTATGATTCTATTTGGTTGCCACCTCTCCTTGGGTGCCACCTCCAGCCACCTCCACTTGGGTGCCACCTGTGCTTGGGTACTACCTTGTCTCAGATGCCACCTAATCTTGGGTGTTACCTCTGTTCAGATGCCACCTCCAGCTGGGTACCACCTCTGCACAGATGCCACCCCCCAGGATGGATGGGGTGCCCACAACACCGAAGAGGCCACAGGGCACCCACCATGCAATGCTGGGGCACCCAGTCACACCATTTAGTTTCCCCAGAACCTCCCCAGGAGAGCCTGGTTGGGAAGCAAAATGCAAAGGAGCAGGAGGAAAACTGCTAATGAGTGTTTTCTTCCCCTCTCTCAGGGTTGTCCTTGGGCACGATGGGGTGTCCCTGCTGTCATTTAGGTCCCTCTGGCCCAGGCTATGTAGCCCAAAGCACCTGAACCACAGCAACGTTCCCAGGGTGGGATTTTCTCCCTTCCTCCTCTTCCTCCCTGTGCTGGGGACACCCTTTTGGGGAGATGCCCAGAAGGCAGCTCCAGCAGGGGCTCAGCTCCAGCCATGGTGAAGCTTTGGGGCTGGGACACAGCCCTGAGCACCCACAGGTAGACCATGCAGCCCAGCAGGGGTAGGTAGGACCAGCCACTGCCTTGCTTCCCCTTTTCCAAGCAGAAAAGATAAATCCAGTCTTTGGTTTGCTTTCAGACAGCAGATGTGACCCTGGAAGTCCTTCCTCACCCACCCTCCAGCCCAAGCCCTGTTCACCAACAGGAGCATCTCCACGTGCAGTTGGTACCTGCAGTCACCAAGCTCCTCGAGACCATCCTCGCAGCCAGGAGAAAAGCAAAGCCAGAATCACCCACCCACTGCAGCCACTGCCACCATGCCAGCTCTCCTCACCTCAAAGCAGAGGAGAAAGCAAGGTCTTAGATGGGCTTTTTGTCCCTCTTCCCACCCAGCCAAGAGCGAAGATCTTTTGAGATGGTTCCAAACACGAACGTCTCTGTCTATTGAGTGTCTGTCAGACAGTTTGGGGTCTGCAGGAGGGAGATAAGCTCCTCTGGAGACACTCTCGGATGAGACACAGTGTCTGGGGGATCCAGTTTCTTTTCATTCTCCCCTCTTCCCTCCTGAAAATATACGTTTGGGGTCTGTAGGCAGGAGAGGACACATGTCTGGAACAGAGATCAAAGCAGCCGTAGGATCCAAAACGGTGCAGAGACACGGATGCTCTGTGTTTGTACAGGGCTCCTTCCACCAGCAAAACGCTGCTTGACAGATATTGTCAGTTCTTAACTACGTCTCCCAGCTGTCTTCTCCCCCTGTAAAACTCTGGAGGAAAAAGCAGAAGATCAGGGGATGGCAGCACCTGACGGGAACTAAATGCATTTCTGGCGCGGTGAGAGTTAAAAAGGAGTTTTAGGGAATAAAAGGAAATATTAAGAAGCTTGGGCCGGAAGCGCAGATGAAATTTAAAGCAGAGAAAGCACAGAGGGAGGGATCCCCGAGAAGTGGATGTTCTGAGCAGAAGTCGTAGCCTCACTCCTCCTTCTCCCAGCCAGGGCTGAGACGGGGCACACAAGGGGAAATCCCTCGCTGGGAACAAAACTCTCCCATGCAGTTGGAAGCCAAGCCAGTTTTATGTGTTTTAAAAAAAAAAAAAATTACAAAATGCCTATATAACCTTGAAATTTGCATCTTGATTCAGTTTTCGCAGAGCTTGTTTGGAAGCAGAGCGCTGGAACCAGCTGGCTTGAAGGGTTTTGAAGGAAACATGGGGGTGAATCACACCACAGAAAGGATGCTGGGCCTCCTGTTGTCTCTCCCTCCCCAAACTGGGCAAGTGGGGTCTCAAGCACAACATTTCAGAAGTTAAAAAGCTCCATGGGAAACCGAGCAACAGCAGCTGCCTCCTGCCCTGGAGGCAAATTCCCTGACCTGGAAACCAGTGGAAAGTTGGATTTGCAGGGATCTGCTTCCCCTCCTGCCAAAGGACCAGCCATGAGAGGTTTCTCTGCACTGACCATGGTTCTTGTGGGGCAAAGCAAAAGGAGAAACCCCAGGAGCTGCTTTGGGTTCATGAGCGATGTCCATCAAACCCCTCCTGCTTCATCGCCCTTTACCTGCAAGGAGATTGTAAGTCCCTGGAGGTTTCTTAATAGTCTAAATTAGACCTGATTGGGATCACAGGGGAGCAGGGTCTTATCTGACTGGTCTTCTGCAAAATTGGTTTAAACTCTGCAGACCCCTCCTCTGCTGAGTTATCAGCCCTCCAGGTCACACCGAGCCTCTTCGCCCGAGTGAGAAATGCCAAGAGTTCAAAGGAGAAGAGCTGCTCTGTGATAATATTGATGTAATCCTTCCAAAATGTAAACAGCTGCCAGGGGAAATGATGGATGGGAAAACAAAAAAGAAACCAACGAGGAAATAATAGTATTTCAGTCCCTCGCAAAAAGTTGTTGAGGGGACATCACATGACATCCAGCAGAAAACTCAGCAGCAGGACTCCTTAATATCTAAAAAAGCCTACAGAAGATCATTTTCATGTCTCCATCATATGATATTAATCCTGCAAAAAGGAAAAAGCTGGGTGCATATTAAGGCCTGCCTTCCCACTTCATTTTTGGATCCCGCTCCGCTCTCTGCGCCGTTTCATCCAGCCCGTGCAGCACTTTCCAAAAAAACCTCTGCCTGCGGTGGCACGGGGCCAGGGGCAGCCGGGGAGACCCACATGTGCTGCCACGAGGCCAAAACACAAGCTCAGGCAGCTGAAGGAGGGTTATTATTTTATTTTTAATTTTATTTTCGCCCCCCATCTCCCAGCTGGTGGCTGAAATGGATGCAGCAAGGGGAGCAGTTTCGTGCGTGAGCATCTTTGTGGGATGAGGACCAGCATCTCCAATATCTCTATTTTGCTGCCTCAAACAAACAGCTAGTCCCTGCGCAGGCACTTGGAAAGGCAGTAGGAAAAGTTTTGCTGTGAGCTCTGCCTGGCTCTCAGTGAGCCCTTGGGATGGTTTTCTTTATATTGGGTTGTTTTGGGTTTTTTTTTTTGCTGTAGGAGTAAGGGATGCTGAGAGCCAGGATGCTGTGCTTCGCAGGTTCCATCCCACCCTGCTGCAAAACCAACCCCATGAGAGCAGCATTGAGCCCTCCAGGAATAAATCGGTGGAAAAAGTGAGAAACAAAACAGTTTTCCCCTGAAAGCAGATCAAAGAAGCAGCTTTCGGTGGAGAAGGGCAGACTTCAGCTTCCGACCCTGGAAAAGCCTGGCATCTGAGAAAAGTTTCTGCTCGTGGCACAGATGCCAGAAGTTTGTGACCAAAAAACCCTCGAATTTTCTCTACAACCTGACAGTTTCCAAGAAAAGCATCAAGGTGCAAACTAAGGTTTGTGCACGTTGGAGACCATCCATGCTCCGTGGCCAAACACCACGGGGCTTAAACCGCCCCGTCGCTTCAGCAGAAGCAAAACCTTGGAGCTGAACCCTGCACCTGAGCCCCGGGCAAAGCTTCTACCTTTCCGACCATCAGCATTTTCTGCAAATGCCAATGAAATTCAGGAAAAAAATAAGCAATGAGAGAGCAGGCAGGGACGGTTTCAACCCAGGCAGCAAGTTCATCTGGCTGCAGATCCGGTCAAGGAATTACACAAGCCATTCCTGAGCTGTTCCCAAAGGGAAGATCTCGTGTCTTCCCCAAATTAAGATCCTTGGATGGGCTTCTTACAAAAATCTGGATAAGGAGAATATTGCACTGACCGTGCCCTCGCAGCTTGCACGAGGATGACCCCAAGCTGCTGGGCTGAAGCAGGCAAAGTCTTCCTGCATCTTTTCAAGAGGAAAACCTACGAGTAGCTTTAACTTCCACCCATGCATCCAAGTCCCAGCTTGAGCTCTTGCCCCAACACCTCCAGAGCTGAAAGCAAACCCTACACGAGCTCCTGCTACCGACTCACCACCCACCTGACCTTCCTCCCCTAACGTTTTGAAGCCATCCCAACAGTTCACTTGCAGGTTTTTCCCACGTGTGGTCATTTTTTCCAGACTTCAGCCTTTTCCCCCACAGCAGATGCCTCCTTGTGCCTGACCTTTGGGAGGGTGTCATGTATTGGATGCTATCGCTTTTGGAGTTTTGGAAGAATTAAGCTAGGATACAAGGAATGTAAACAGAGGCCAGCAATGAAAACAAAATCCCTAAATTCACTAATATAAACCGAGGAAGGGCTGATGGGGATTTAATCGTGAGCTGCCTCGGGGTGATGGTGATGCAGAGGGTCTGGGATGCACCCCAGGGGTGCTTCTCCCACAGTTTTGGGGGAAGGATGCCCAGGCTACACGTTTCCGCAGCTCAGGAGCGCCAAACTCTGCCCAGCACCTGGGTCTGGGCTCAGGATTACACCCACAAGCAGGAAGGGGAAAAAAGGCAGGGAGAAGCTGGACCACCAGCA